GACTGAGAGCATATTCCTCGATAGTATAGTGGTTAGTATCCCCGCCTGTCACGCGGGAGACCGGGGTTCAATTCCCCGTCGGGGAGGTGGAATTTTTTATTTTTTTCCCAAAATGACATTATAAATTTAATGATTAATTCCATTTTGTATAATATTTAAATTATAACTCTAGTCCTGAGGGAGAAAATAAATACAATAACTATATTAATAGGAGATTCATTTTAATGATATAATATTTAAATTATAACCTTATAAGAAATGCATTTCCATAAATATGGTATGGTTATTTCTTGCAATTATGTCGTTATAATAATATATTTTTAACTCATAATTCTTGATATAGTTTTATCAAAACAGAAAAACAAAAAAAAAACGCATCGTTCTCCCCGACGGGGAATTGAACCCCGGTCTCCCGCGTGACAGGCGGGGATACTAACCACTATACTATCGAGGACCTTGAAAATATTGAATTACCTTTGGCTCAATTGCCAACAGGTGATATTTTGTAAATATTATCAGTCAAATATAACAAATGTTTTATTTCCTAACGTCCCAAAATCGGGTTTTCATCAGTACTGGTGAAAAATCTTTCTGATCTTTTTTTGACAGAAATCAATTTATATTCTTCGCAACTCTAGAAGTACATGTAAACTTATTAATTTGCAATAACTAACAATATTTCTATAGTCAATTTCATACAAAATGTATATAAATAAAAATCAAGTTGAAATAAACAAAGAGCGGAAATTGTTTGTATCAATCAATATTGTTTATCTCTTATATAGTAATTCAAATGCCTCTGAGCGACGTACCCCTCGGTGTGGTTAAAAGGCGAAAATAAATTATACAGGATTGAAATTTTAATCGAAATGTAGAAGGGTCGACACGACTTTAAAGCGGTGTAAAGGATGAACATGCCAACGCGGTGTGAAATTGAAGCGGTTGGTGCGATATGCAAATGCAGCTTGGACCGGTTTGGCAACGGTGTTCCCGGTTCACAGTCTACGCGATGTCCTGCCGAGTCCTTGACATTTTTCGGTGGCGCCAATGTCCGACCCGCAAGCACCCCCCTGGTCCCAACATTCGTCAGCATTTTAATCGCGTTTGTGCATTTGCTTGGAAAAGTCTAAAATTGAACGCAAGTGATGGCAATTTGTACGCTTCGCTGTGCCTGAGAATTTACGGACGTGCAGAGGGAAAACACGAAGGACACTGGAGGGGTTGAATGGGGAGTGTGCCGAAATTAATATGCGTCGGATTTTGGGGAGCGGGAAAAACTTTGCCGGCTGGGGATTTGGCCGCTGTTGGCCATTTTCGTTTTTTTTTTTTTCACTCCGCCCATTATAGCTTGTTGGCCGGCAGCAGCGTTGGCTCGTGATTAATGTGGCAAATGCGCAGTTATAAATTATTTATTACTATTCTTCGCATTGTTTCCTGAGGCGTGTGCGAATTGGTAAGACATTTAAGCCACATTTTCAAGTGCCACAAAAGGTCAAAGGCGCTGCTTTGGGAAAAAGGGGATGAAATCTGCGTGATGCCAGTTTAATATTCAGAGCACCGAATTGCCGCAAAGCGGGGCCAGTTAACACAGAGTTATTTTGTAAAATATTGACAAAATAACTTTTAAAAGCCTAAAGGGGTCAATAGCGGAAATGTCACTCAATTCAAAGATTTTAACGTGAAATATTATTATAGTATTTTAGATTAAAGTTGATATGGACTTAATAAAAGAACTTTAAATTTAATGCTCCAAAAGAAATTCTAAAAGATCAGTTATTAGTTTATGTGACTTTATTTCCGTTAAGAAATAAGGATAATAAAAAGTTGTGCTTGTAAATGGAGCCCTTGTTGACCCAGACTTTTAGAAATTCTGAACTGCCGCCCATTACGGACAACTGTGCCACTTCCAATTCCTGCTCAAACCCTAATTCCCAATGAAAACATTTAACAAATTAAACGACAAAGCCAGCTAATACGTGTTTCCTCTTTCCATTTTCTCCAGATCCACCGAATAGGAACTTTTTTTGCTTTTTATTTCTTCTTGTGTCCTTCTGCTTTTGGTGTGTTTAATTTTTTATTGGGAAAGTTTTGTACTCTGGCCGATCTCAATGGGTGACACTGTCAGCGATTGAAATTTATTTCGCATGCACTTTTTAAATCGAACAAAAATAGATTCCTTCCGCCATATTGAAACACCAGGAAAGCGAACAGGATAAAGCGGTTGGGCTGGGGGGCTAGATGTCGTATATTGGTGGAAAAAGCAATTGAAAACTTCATCATGGTTACAACAATATTTTTACAACGAAATTGGCACAAAAATGTGTCCACGAACTTTTTGCGCAAAGCGTTAGAAAACCGGGGCCAAAAGAGGGGCTAAAATGTTCAGGGGTGGTGGGGGGCGGCGAAAACTTTGTGCCAGTTACCGACCACGCCCACGTCAACCCATGACATCAACGCCCTGTCACGAATAAAAACTGAATTGATAACATATTTCAGCTTGTTCTGGTTTTTCGGCGACTTTTTTCGCCCATTTTTTTATACGTTTTTTTTTTTTATTTTTTTGAGTCGGAACTTTTCTAGACTTGCGCAGCCATTGTTGTTGTTATTTAGTGCACCACCATGATGGGTTCTTTTTATGGGCTGCCTCTGTCCCGGGCAATTTGTAATCTAAACAACATGGCCCGGCTAACCGTTCCCCAAATCCACGCCACATATCCTTAAATCCTGGCAAGGCAAGCGCTGGAAAACTGACAGCCAGCAAATGACTAAAGACGCAGCGCGGTGGGTTAGGGGTTATATGTAAAAATGTCGATTTAATATTAGCACCATGAAGGGAAATCAAAGTGGAATAAGAACAAAGTAGCGGGTTCAGAGAAAACTCTAGGGAAAAATTGAAAACGAAGGGGTATCAGGGTTTGTTAATACATTGTGATGGGATAATGATAAAGGAATAAAAAAAAGGAAAGTGGAAAACCTTTAAACAAAACATGAACTTTAATGACATTTTAACTATGTTATCGTACAAAATATATAACAATCTAAAGCAATTTTATACAAAATTTAAAACAAATCCAATAAGAAATTATTTTGCAGAATCGATCATTCATTTAATTAAAAAAGAATTAATTTATGTGCATTGTACAGTATTTTTTGCTTTACCATAGTGCCCAGAAGCGAACTGAATGACACCGCTCTGCACTCAATTTATATAAAAATCCGATATACCCGGCGGCAACACGGAAAGTAATGGGAGCATAAATGGCTGCAAGCAATAAAGAAAATGGCGGCTGACAACAGCTTCAGGTTTGGCTGCTTCTTTTTTGGCCAGGATGTGGCAGCTTGTTGATGATAAACTCTTATGACCCACATTGGCGGGGTGTAGCAAGGGGGTCGCGGGGGTCAGGGGCGTCGAAAAGTGGGCGAGTTGCCAACGTGTGTGTGTGTGTGTGAGTGTGTGAAAGGAATACTAAGGTAGACCCACACATATGGCCACACACAAGGTTGGCAGCTGCATCCGGCGGAAGTTTGTGGCAACACTCGGTGCCCTCTCATGCCAATGGACCAACAACACAAGCCAGCACACACTTTCAAGTTAGTTATAAACGTTTATCGATATTATCTATTCCCGGCCCACTCTCTCGCGCTCTTGCCAAAGTTTTCGCTGGCTGCAGACAATAAAATGCAAACAAATCACTGCGCGAAAACTTCACAACATGGCGGCAAAGAATGTCGATTTATGGGTGCCAAGTGGAAATATTATCAAAACTATGACTTTGCAGGCGAGGGGCGTGGGTGTTGGGTTGAGTTCGGTTCGGTTGGGTTGGGGACTCAAAATATTGCCCCCTGGGCTGCAGACCCCAAATTCGCTTGTTTATTGGCTGAGTAACTGGGTTTTGCGAGTGGCGAAAATAAAAATGCATTCTATATGCACCGAGCATTGATTGTCAGTGGGGGAGCTTCAACGAATGAAACTTTTCCGAAAAATGCACAAGAGTTGAACTAAGAAGCATTGCATTTAAATAGCATAAATATTCAAAAAACTATACCCTGAGTTAATTTTTTAAATTCAATACATTATATGCTAATTTTCATCAATTGTTTGATTTTCTATTTTAAGATCCGACCTAGTTAAAACACCTGCTAGGGCCATAAATTCCAATCAAATATTGATCATGAAGGAAATGTCGAATTTTTGTATCAGCTATGTGGGGGCAGAAAAATATTTTGCACATCGTTTGCAGTTAGCATACAATAATACTTAAAATGTATCATGCGACCCCGTTTACAAAGTCAAACGTGAAAAAAGAGGTAACACAGGCATTGCATGATGAATGACAATTTTTACCCGATTTATATGACAAAGGCGCAAATGCGATGAGTCTACTCACAGTCACATTTCTTGCATTTTTCTGTCTTATTGCGAATGGCGATAACAGGCAGAACAAAATGGACAATTCGCATACAAAATGGCCGTGCACAATAAATTATTCGGACGGCATAGCAGAGCAGAAAAAAAACGAAGAAGGCACAAATAAAAAGCAAATAAGTACATAAGTGGGTGTACAAAGAATAGAAGTAAAATTGTTGACACAGGCAACGGGTCGTATGAGTGTTTTTGTGTAATTCTCTTCCCGATTTCAAAAAGATATAATTTAAGAGTTTTGGTTGCAATACTCAGAGTGTTCAGATGTACATTAAATTATTCTGATTCTTGTGCAGAGACAATTTTCAAAAACAAGCGGTTTATGTCTTCTCGATATTACACTAGTGAAAAACATATCACTCATACGTAGTGTTGTCCGAATGGAATATTCTCAAAATGTTGCATATGGCTTATTTTATGTTCTCCACTTTTTCGAAATGCTACAACTATTGGTAAGGATTTAAATCTTGTTGTCTAATCAATCATTTGTTATTATTTTTTGAGATTTACAACCTTTTTTAGTCAAATAAATTATATTAATAGTAAGCCCACTGTATTTGGGTAATTGCACACTTACCAGCCAGCACAGAGGTGGAGTTGTGGCGGGGGTCGTATGGGCACACCGCCTGTCCGTTTTTCGTGGCCTCCAGCGTGTAGTTGCTGTCGCTGATGATGTACGTGTTGCACATTGGCCGGAACGAGTTGGTGCCGCAAACGAAGAGGCGACCCGGCGATGGCACCACCATGATGCGAATGTAGTTCTGACAGGCCTCCTGAAATCGTTCAGAATTTATAATTATAGTACACCGAATATGATCATTCTCTTACTTCATCTACAAAAGTTATACAGCAGATAATTAAAATTTATATAACTATGTTATTTTTGAGAATAAGTTTCCGAGTGATTGGAAAGGTAATAAGGACATTTATTTTAACAGGTCGGGAAAAACACAAAAAAAATAAATTAAACCTTATTATTTTTAGATTTTTAAACCGAAGTAAATAACATATTATGGAGTAAAACAATAATAATGATAGACAGATAACGGATCAGATTTTAAAAATATATTTTTTTCGTATCTTAAATATTCTATTTAGTTGTTCAGTAAATTATTAAAATTGCTTTACTGGCCCTTAAAAGGTTGAACGAGACAGGTATTTCCTATGAACCCTTATGGAAGAGATGAAAATGGGAGCCCCGCCCTCTCTCTTCCCAACTGTTTTGCATAAATGTTTCGCAAATTGTAATATTTAATACGCAACAAAAGTACTTCAAAAACAAACAACGAATGTTCCCGGGACGGTGCACCTGCAACTCAATAAATATTAAAAGGCAAATGCGCAACTTGTTCCCATTTAGAAGAGTCAGAGCGAATACATAAACGGCAGCGGCAACTTTTCCTATAGTGGCGGAAAATTGTTGGCTGACATTTCCGGCGCCACTACCACCACCATCACACCACCACCCCAGTATGTCACCATTACAGCCGGAAGTGTTTGCACTCTGACATGACAAATCATTTGAAATACTCCCAGGCAGCAGTTTCCATTGTACACCTTTCATCTGTCTCTCGCAGTTCCTGTGTGGGTTTAAATGTTTAAACAATTTGTTTGTTCGCTACTAATTTTCACAGTTTTTAGACGCATTCATTACGAAAATAAACCGGACAATTGTGAGGTATTTAACTTTCCGCCTTTGATTTTAGTCATTCTTTTAATACAGTTGCCCATTTGGATGTGTTTTAACGCAATATACACAAATAAATATTATATTTGGCACATAGTTTTAAATTTCCGGTTCAGTTCAGCTTACAATAGCATAAGAAGATTTTGCTTACCCTTTTTGCTGTCTTGTAACCGCCCGGAATTCATTTTCATTTAATTAAGTTTATTGTTCAGAAATATTTAACATGTTCTGCCCTTGTTTTGTGTGGCCAAACTGTTCGAGCATAAATTTAAATAAATTAACAAAACAATTACATGAAGTCTAGGGGTTGGCTGTGAAGTTGTAGTTTTCCGTATTTCTCTTGTAATTAACACGCAAAGCAGACACAGACAAACATGGTTTAGAATGCAATTAACTGTGAAATTTATTAATTTGCTTTGAATTGTTGCGGCAGCCATGGGTTGAATGCCGCTGGTTAATGATGGTTCTTATTTTAGTTTTTCCCCATAATTGGTTTCTCATCCTTCTCTTACCAAATTTATGTTTAATTCATTCTGCCTAAAAATACTTTTATTTCGGTTTTTTACCACAAATTTATACAAGTTTGAAGTATGGAATTTTAAAGTCAAATAAATGCGAATATTGATGGTCAAAATTCAAATATGTATTGTGAATTGAAGAGTGAGAGAAATCGAGGAATGTAATTCGTGTTTTGCCCCCAGGCTGTCTAAAGTCTCTCAGTCAAACATTGCGTTCAAAAATTATAAATTGAAATGATTTTGAAGGCGTCGGCCTTGTGGGCTGGACTTCTCTGGTCGTGTCGTTTTTCAGCTTCATTAACGAAATTGTTGTCTACCTTAAGGCATTTTGGCAGCAGTCAAAAATATTCTTAAGCTTCATCTTTCGAAGTTTTTTTCCCCACGATGTTGAACAATGAAACTTTTCCGTGTCCAGAGGCTTGGGTTATGGACTTGGACTTGGCATGTTTAATGCTTATTGTGAAATATCTTAAGCATTTTTGTAATTATTTTATTCGACAAAATTTAAGGAGAACGTACTAGTACTTATGACCTAATAGGTATGCAATTTTCAAACCGATTTGCTTGTAAAACAAGTAGGTTAAACGAGCTGTGTGAACAGAGGGTTTGAGTCAGGTTGAATGAAAAGCTGGATCCGGACAGACAAAGACGACCGAAGTGTTGCACAGCCTTGCATAATTTTACCAGCATTTTCCAATCGAACAATAGGCGACTGCAATTGCACTTTCCATCTGAGAACCTAAGCTGGGAAAACTCTGCAAAAAGCCATTTGCAAACCAAATCAAATGTTTAATGAGGAATGAAGAGAAGGACAAATTGCCATGTACGTATGCTTTGAACAAACCGTTCTATGAGTGATTAAGCTCACAGTTCTATTTAATGAGAATACCCAAATAATTACACGCTTCCTTTTGTATGTTCCTATTAACAATTATATTATATTTGTCGGGTAAACATTATTGTTCTATTTCGTTGAAATTTAATATTATCTGACAAAGTCTGAAAATCTTTGCTTTCTGCTACCCGTGATATAAATATTTCTTGTTAATTTGTTTGGTTTACTTATGTTGAATCCACTCGGCCACTTAAAATAATATTGATCTTATATTGGGTAGTAAAACCTCGAAGCCAGCGTTTAAATATTTTATAAATGAACCTATATATACTGCTCATTTTTTACGCAGTTTTAATAAAATTTTCAGGAAAAAATCGATTAAGTAAACATTTTACAGCCACCTGAACTCAAACTGGCAAGAAACAATGGTAAAAAAGGGATATTAAGGGAATCCCATTGACGCAAGTGAATATTAATTTAATTTAAGCCAACTTTTTTTTTTTCCTTGGCCAATTTTAAGTAGCGTGAGTTAGCTATATATCCGAAAAATGCATTCCGCATTTATAAGATTGCAGATTTTTGCGCCGCTCGTCCTTTGGCTGATTATCAACTTGATTAGCCCGACGTTTTCGCATCCAAATTAGTGGCCGAAATGCCGGTTAATTAAAATTGTAAATTTTGAACTTTTCTTTTCATTTCTTCATTCCAGCAAAACAATTGCAATTTATTTTTAGAGGTAAAAACCTTTTGTGGGGAAATGGCAATGCCGCACGCCATGGCTAGAAGTCCGAAGAAACTTTGGTTCTTTCCTCTTTTTTGAAGCCATAAATAACGCGACCCACCCGAGCACAGACATATAAAGTGACCCCACTCAGGTGGAGCCGGCAAGCAAATTGAGTTCAACAAATTACACCTGCTAATGCTCTGGTTCGCCTTATTTTTGTTGCTCCTGCTGTGCAATTGCTGGCACGACCAGCCAACAAGTGTTGGCTAATTACGTGAGCAAAAAGCCAAACTTGAAGTGCACTTCAGCATGCACAAAAAAGGTGAAGAAGGTATTTTAAGAGCAGATGAGTCAGTTGGAATTTGTGTTTGCTCTGTTTGAGGAAGTATAAAAAAATATTTAAATACGCTTTGCTTGTACTATGAAGAAGATTATTACTTTCTAAAAACTAATATTTATATTTTATATTTTTAAACTTATGTACAGGATAGAAAAATCAGAAAAGATACAAATTGAAAATGTTTGTTTTATCTAAAAAATTGTCTTTACCAAAACTTGAATTAAATATTTAATTAATTTAAGACAACTACTTCCCCGTGTACGTCTTCTATGAGAGAGTGTGTAAGGCAGTATTTGGCCTAGTTGACCGGAAACGGAAGGCGAAACAAAAAGCCCACCAACAAAGACAATTTGAAAGCCAAAATATTTGCCATTTCCATTAGGCAAAGTTTGCTTTCAGGCTTTGATTTGCTTGCCTTCTCTGGACTCAATTTACCCCAGTCTCTCTGTTCAACTGGCATTTTCTTAATAGGTCAACGGCAGTGGCGAAGAGTTTTCAATAAATTTTCTTGATTTCTTAGCCACAAAGAAGAAAAACACAAGACCAAGGCGACAACAACAGAAAAAGTTGCATAAATCAATTTCTTCTTGTATGGCGTACTTCTTCTTCATAGTTTCTCCATGTTTTTAGCGCGAAAAAAAGTTAAGATAGATGGGGAGAAACAGAGAAACACTTTATTGCCTTGTTTTTGCATTTCTCTGGCGACGGAAGCAACAGCCAAAGTTGAAATCGAAATGGAAATAGGAATGGAAATGGAAATTGCAAGGCCATTAGGCCAAAGTTCTATACAGTTTATAAACAGCAACGCAAAAAGTTGAAAATAGAATACAAATTTGTATTTTGGTTACTAACTGACACGAAAATATTATTTCAGGTGTCGACTGATTAAGTGGGACATCTTACGAACACACTTTGTATTGATTGAAATTTTTAAGAACTAATCCCTCTAGTTTGCGTAAATTTAATAAATTCCGTAATTGTTGTTTTAGTTTCAGTTTTAGGAGTACTTGAAGTTTTGTAAGTTTCAGTTTTCATATAATCTATGTTATAATTAATAATATAATTATTGATCGATTGCAATTTTTCACTCACCTCATCTTTGCCCTTGACGACACACATTTTGGTATCGTCCTCCGGCGACGTCCAGACCAAACGCTGCTGCTCGACGAGATCGTGTATGCTTAAATTAAAAACCGTATTTCTGCAAAAGACAAACAAAGGAAACGGCATGAGAAAAAGTCCATCGTAAGTTGTGGTCTACAAAGAAGTGAAATTTGCCGCAGATAGAATTTGTACGATTCCCGTTCTATCATCCTTATCAGTTGAGTACGGGGCAGCTGGCGGTTGCGGAGAATTAATTAAAAAATTAATTAAAATTCATTTGGCCTTTTCGGGGCTGGCAATCAACACGCAGCCTGTGACCAGGACCACAAAAAGCCTCTGGTCTATGTTTTGTTTTCCTTTTAACCTTTTACCCTCCTGTCGGCTTGAATGCCATATTTGTGCAGAAATTCCAAAATTCTCGTTAATAAAATTGTACCCACCCACACGTGTGGTGCATGTTCGTGTGTCCGAGTGCGACCCACAAAATGAAGTGGTGCAAGGCTGGGCGTGTCACCGCCCGGAATTCGAGTTTGGGGGCGAAATTTCATAAAATCAACTCATTGATTATTGAAACCACAACTACGTGTGAGTGTGTGTGTGAGTTCGAGCGGGTGTATGTATGTGGTTAGTGCACCTTGGTGTGGGTGCACTTTGGTCGAACACTTTATGACCGCCATATTCGGGAATCAGCCATCACACCACCCAAAAAACCTGCATAAACGACAGCCTTATCGAAACTTTCCAAATTTTGCTATGGTCTGAATGCGGCAAAAAGAGCGGAACATTTTAAATAAATACATAGATATGCAGATACTATATTTGTGAGAGGAGTGGATTTGCATACAGATTGCCAAATTGTGTGAGGAGCCGAAATGGAATGTACATAACAATTCCATAGGTGTATTCATATACGTTTAGTATATTTTAAAAATAAACGCATTCCTTTTATAAGAAATCTTTTGATATGTTATTTTTTATCCAATAATAAGCAGATTTCAAAGATACAGACATGGATACCTACGCAATGCTCGCAATACTACTTTTATTAGTTTATAATTTGTTTGAGGGACATATTTAACATGTGGCATCAGCGCATTTGTGATAATTGTCAGTTACCAGTCTCACTCTTCAAATAAAAAGTTAGATATGCTGATGAATGGACAGGTGAATAAAAACTGCGATTGCAGTGGGAAAAAGGACGTCCCCTGGAACAGGACACAGCCTTTGTTTGGCAATTATGCAGCGCGTTTTAATTATGACAACGGCAAAAGGCAACTTCAAACGAACGTGCACCATCAGCAACATCGCAGGACCCCAGCAACATCAGCAAAGTTGCTGCAGCTGCATTCTTCCCTTTCACGGCTGTCACTGCCTGCTGTTTTCAGGACGTATATAGCCGGCTATACGCGTACGCATGTACACATAAAATGCGCTGAACCAAATTAGCATATAAAGGGGACAGTCGCCGTAACGGGTTGGACCCGGGCTAGAAAGGCAGGTAGGCAAAAGGCTCAAATGTTGCTGATAGGTTAAGGGAGCCGTGCTAGCAATATTGCCTCAGGCAAACTATGAATACGCTGTGATTTAACGAACTAAGTGAAATAAGTCTAAAACATCCAATAAAGTTGTGTGCAAGGTCTCCAAAACATCTAACAACTTTTTTAAAATATGTAAGTTTGATAAACAATGTGATTCAAGTCAGATACTTTAAAAAATTATTGAAAATTCTGCATTTAGTTTTTTTTTTAGATTTAAAGCATCTTTCAAATTTAAATATTTTACTAAAAATAAAGTTCTAGGCTTCCAATTACAGAGCACTATTTTTTTTATAACAAAAATAACATTTAAGGCACCAAAAGTGGCCAGCGTTGTGGGATCACTTATAAAGTAGGGATAAGATGCTATTATTGGATAACATATTTTTTTATTGGATGCAGAAAAAGAGAAAATAAAAAAATGTGGGTCGAAGAGTGTAAAAATTGCTGGTGTAACTCTTGTTGCAATTTGTTGTTGTTGCTGTCGCTTGTCGGCTTGCAACACTCACAAACACATAAACACTTTAGCGCATTGCTTAACACATATAGGCACACATACGCAGAGTGCAACAAGCAATGCAAGCGCTCGTGAAAATGTCGCGGAAAATGCCAAAGAGAGGTGAAACCAAAGGGAAATTCGACGGGGAAATAGGAGGGGTGTACTTGTATGTATGTGTGTGTGTGTGGAGTGGAGCATTTTAAAGAACGCATTTGGCGTGAAAACCGAGCTCATAAATATTTTCCACACGGCGTAGTGTGTTAGTGTTGCAGTTGTCCCAGTTGTTGTTGTTGTTGTTGCCTGCCAGCAGTGAACGCAACGATTACGCCAGGATTTCCACTGCTTTGGCTCGTATTACCCCTCGCCCTTGTTCCTCCCCCCTGCAGTTGCACATTTAGCAATCCTCGTTGTTGCCGCTGCTTTGCAGTTTATTATTATGCAGCTTAAGCGCAGTTGGCAAATATAAAGGGGAATATGTGCGGAGTTCCTCTAGGAAAACGTTTACATTCAGTGGGATGAAACGCAGGCGATAATGAGGCGGCACGGTACCAACGAATTCGGCAAATATTGTGATACATAGGAGTCCCTGTCGGGAATAAGCTCAAAATTAAACGAACGGTGTTTGAAAATACGATCAGAAGTCAACAACGATAAAAAAACTCAAGGCAATTAAACTTAAACAAATAGTAGTAGTAGTAAGATCATTTAAATTACTTTAATGGACTAAACGCATTATTTCTTAAAGCTACAAATATAGTTTAGAACTCCACAACATTTAACAAAAACCAAGGTCGACTTTTTAAGAACCGCAAATAAATTAAAAAACTGTTTACCACAAGCTCTTAAAAACGAACAAAAAATATTTTTGAAACCATGTGACCAATCCTAGTTAAAGGATAAATTAAGGAGGCCCATTTACGAGTGGGCGTGTTAACGATAACTAGGCAAATCAGGCAACACAACATTTTGCGTGGTAACCATTTGATGGCAGGCCATGGTTTGAAATACCTGCGGTTTGTAGAAATGCCATTCGGCCCCAAAATAATTCGTGGTTTACACCAACATCAGCAACGTTTCGTTTAAACAGAATACCAAACGATTTCATGCGAACATATATATACAAATATAAATACAAATTATGCAGACTACCAATAGCAAGAAACTTTAAAATAAAACATAAAGTCTGTGAAAGATAGAAAAAATAACGAAGATGAAAACATAATAGAAAATAAATCCGTTGAAATTGGCAACTGAAGTATTTTTTCGGAATATCCAAAAATTCAATTTGTTTAATTTTCGAATTCCTGTAGTAGTAAAATGAATTACGAAATAACAGGCAAAAATCAAACACACTCCTTTTATTTGCCAAAAACAAATTTAAATTCATTTAAAATCCGCTTTTTGGTTTGCCACCGTCTTAAACCAACCGACAACCAACAAACAAATCAACCATTCGCCGCGTTGCCAGCCATCCGAAAAGCAATAACAACAAGGACAACCAGCAGGAAAACAAAACCCGCAGGCAGGACCCTTTTCAAATATCGGCTGAGTGCAAAGAGGCAACACGAAACAAAGCCACATGCACATAAATAACGACATTGCGGTCGAGAAGACCTCGAGAACCTCGAACAGAATACATATAGAGGGTATCAGTCATAAAATAGATTGAGGCAAGGCGAAGGCGAGAAAGGAAAACTCGTGTTGCCATCGCTACCGCCGCCATTTTTGTGGTTTGACCCACAAAAAGTATCGAGTACAAACAGAACAAGGCACCATCCCGAAACAAAAACAACAAGTCTAGACCCAAATGAAGGAAAGCAAAGAGAACGACACATAGAAAATTACTCATACGCAACGTTGCAGGCTTCCTTTCATGACCTTGGTTGGTCGGACAAATCTCCTCTCATTTTCATTATAAATAACACCACTCGAATGATTGATATTATTTTCTTTTTCTTGGTATTTTCATTTTCTCGAGTAGAAAATGCGCAGGTGACATGTAAATATTTCGGAATTATGTAAATTGAACAAGCTTTGAGATTCCAAGAAAAATTATTCATTTCGCGTTACATCTGAATATCATTGGCAATGGGCAATTTACTTAAATAACAAAAACTCACTTGACACTTGTCTCAAGAATTGTGTGACTTTATTTTTCTAAATTTATTGGGCTTGTTATGCAAATTTGTAAAGCAGGACACGCAGGTGTGCATATATTTCGCATTTTTAGGGCAGCACTTTAAGGCTTAAACTCGAAATCAAAAATATTTACTTTATAAAGAGAATAAGACACATTTTGTTTAGTTTTTTTTAAAGGAACAACAAAAGTGGTGGATATTAGTTGAATGTAAGACCATTTAGAACATCTTGCACAGCCTGAAGTCTTTTTTACTGCCGGTAACCGTTTAGATAAGCACTGTTAAACTATCCTTTTCCTTAAATCAATTCCTTATCTCCATAAATTTCCTTTGAATGGGCAATTGAGATGGCAAATTGCAGGACTGAATTCATCAGGAAAAATGCCAGCCAACGTTCAATGTCACACGTCATCAGCGCCCCAAAGGAATGCCCGAAGGCAATCAGAGAAAAGAACACTCGACTTCCGGAATGCATTGATGCATTGATGCGTTGATGCCGATTCCGATTCCGATTCCCAATCCCAGTTCGATGCAGCAAAGCCTGCGGGGGCGGATGGGGGTTGACATAACGGTAAATGGCTTTTCTGAATAGCTAAGCAAATCAGGCGAACTTCTCATGTTTCTACGCTTTCGAGGCTTTTCGGTTGGGGAAAATTTATGTTTGTCGCCGCCATTTGCATGCGCTTGATGCAAGTGTGTGCATGTGTGTTTGTGAAATGGCAGCCATTGCAAAAAATTATTGAAGCGCAGCGGAGAAAGGGGAAATCCCCCACACATATCCAACACATCCATCACCATTTCGAGTTGAGCTTTTGTCATTTTTCATTGACTTTTTGACTCTGTCAGGGATACGGCTTCGACTTCAACTTCATTCCACATCATTCGATGATGCTGACTAAGCCAATTCAGGATTCAGGACTTTGGATGCCCCTGTTATACACTGAAACCTCTTTTCTTTCTTATTTTTATTTCAAAATATATTTTCCATTTACAGTTTTACATATTTAAATTGTTTATTTGAGACTCAAGATTTCCGTTGATTTGGGAAAAAAAAATGGAATGTAGGGCGTAATAACATTTTGCACTTCTTTTTGATTAGTGCATTCCTCAGCTTTGGAAAACGGTTGACGGTTTGGATTGCAATGTTATTGAACAAAGTTTTTTCTTATGTGCACCAAGCCAAACCAAACGAAACCAAATCAACCCCCAAACCTCCAACAGAACCACGTCATACCGTGCCATTCACTCAATGGAGGCAGAAAATGTCGAAACTGTCAAATGCCAAAAACCCAAATGTGAATTGCCCGAGCTGAGCTGACCCACAACATGATATCGTTGTAGTTGCAACACCCCCAGCACCACCCACCCACCGAACCAATCAGTCCAGTTAACCAGGTGGTGGCATTTGACTTTTGCCCTTTGGCCAAGTCAGGTGCGGAGCGTTTGTTCCTGGCCACAGGCAAACATGCCAAAGCGAATTGCATTGTGGTCTCGTAAGCATGATTAAACTCCAACTCTGGACCCAAATTGGACATTCTTTGCAAAACCACACAAAATATTAACTGCATTCTGGATCGATTCCAACTTAATGACTCTTGGGCAGACTGCTTTGCCTTGGATATCTGTCTGCCATTCTAAAATTTGTCAAATGGGGCTAACAAAGGAAAAAAGCAAGGATATCAGTTTTATTTCGAAATGTCCCACAAAGAAAACTCAAAGAAAGGTAACTCTGTTGTTGAATGGAAGAAATTACTAGAGGTAAATTTAAACATTTCATTAAAATAATACAATCCCCATTTATATAAAAATCAGGAAATCACTGAAAATCAATTCGTACATGACGGTGCCCATCTAAAGAAATAAAAAAATACCTTACTAATCAAAAAAAATGTTGTTTAGCTTTAATTAAACCAAGTAAACTGTAAAATGAATTACACATTTCTAAAATTCGAAATCCATCCAAACAATAGACTTAGAGAAATACCTTTAAGCGAAATCTGTTCTTCGGACAATGGCATGGACTTGAGATTAGACAATAGTCCATCCTAAACAATGAGTAGACTTCTCGTGGGCTTTTAAGCCAGTGTTGACATGGTCAAACAATTCAATTGGGAAATCCTTCAATCCATTCATTGGGACGATTACATTTCAATCTTGAGGCCTAATGGAATTGGCCACGCAGAAGTGGACTTAAATCGTCAGAAATTAGTGGATGCATTCGGCATTCACACATAAACGCGGATGTGAGCAAAAACCAGCACAAACGGAAATGAATTTGCGGTGCAGAAATGATTGTTGTGCGGTTGCACAAAGGACTCCACCCACACATACACATGTATACTGTGCCGACAGAAGAACAAGAACACAATAAAAGATGGACACCGCCGTGCGTGTGTATGCGTGTTTGTGAGTAAAGGAATTTTCAGACCCGTCGACAAAAGGAAAATTGCATACAAAAATTGGATAGTCGACTGCAAGTAAACAGTGAAGCTAAATGTTTAAATATCTTATAATAAATTTGACTAAACATTTATAAATTTGGAGGATATCAATATTTTTTAATTTGAGAATTTTATTTTGTAAGTATATAAATTAAAAATTTAAATAAACGCTTTCCATATTAAATCACCATTTCATCTGTAAACCTGATTCGGAAAGAATAGAAAGTTCAAATTTAAGCTCATTTTTTTGTTATAACCTTTTTTACTCAAATATTTATTTTATTTCATTTATTTATTTTATTTTAATGGATAAATAAACCACTGTGCACTCTCCACGATTGCTTTGAAAAAGACGTTAAAAGCCGAAAGATAGGCTGACATATAGAGCACACTCGAGTCCAAAACGTGAGAGACAAAGACAGAATCACAGTGAGAGAGAGAGATGCCGAATGAATCCAGTCCCGTTAGGCAACGAAATGGATTTTTCCTTTGTTCGTTTAGCAATTTTATTTCCGCCTTTGTCGCGATTCATTCGATTGCCTGCCAACCTGACATGGAGGGAATGGAACGGAAACGCACGGGTGGAACGGAATGGAATGGGATGGTATGGGATGGCATAGCGTGGCATGGCATGGAATGTGGCAATGACAGCAGGAAAAACGTTGGCACATATTTCCCATCTTAATGTGTTAACCCAATTTTCATGTCGAGCGCATTGCTGAGGAATATTTATAGATCGCAGCGAGAAAATCTAAACGTGGAGGAAAAGCTTAACGAACATTTTCCGCTGACTTGCTGCAGTGTGGGGAAAACGGAGGTGTCCTGGTGTAGACAACCACTTTGAGCTTATTTGCATAAGTGTGAGAAGAGATACCAACAGTAATGGCTAAGGTGGTTGGCGTAATGAGTTTAAAGTTTTAGAGCGAGCTTACAATTCCAATAAAAATAAAAGTAAAAGGGTAAGAAATGCGGCTTGCAAATTAATAGTGGTAAATAAATCAACCCAAAAACTTAACAATTTCTTAACAACGATTTGAAGCGTTTAAAAATTCCTTTTGACTTGACTGACATTAGATGCGGGATAAAACATAAAACACGGTACCTGCTATGCCACAGGAAATGAAACGGTACAGCTTTGCCATGAAATAGGGGCGTTCAGGAGTGTAGTTCTCCTGTGGAACCTTCCTTTCCACTCTTTTTTTTTTGTTTAAACATTGTTCATGACGTTTCACATGCAAAACGCGTGTCACATTCGCATTTCCGCCTGTCATCCTAGTTTAGTTGGTCCACCCTAGCAAACCCAACCCCCTCATCCACCAAAAAAAAAACACCTACCCGCACGCACACTGCGAAACCCAAGCCCACGCACACACTCAAACACACGTGGCGCTTTTTGGCTTTCACCAACAGTCGCCGGAGAGGTTTTCCTTTGGTTACTTTGACTCTTTTGGGGTCTGATAAGTGGATATGTGCGTGTGTGAATTCCTTTTCGCAATGCGAGTGTGCAACTTGTTAAAAATCCATTAATCACGTAAGTGGCAACTCTGGCAACGACATTGCCGGCATACAAATTTGTTCATGCGTGCGAAAAAAAGGGATGTGAAACCCCCAACCACACTACTTTTAGTCCCTACATATCGGCGTATGTGAGAAAATGTGTGAGGGGTTCCCTTAATTTTCCTGCTTTGGTTATTTGGTTATGCCTTTGCATTTTACTGCCTCATTATCCTCACATTGTAAATTGCTTTGCAGGAAAACTGCTCTGGAAGTGCTTTTGAACCTTATTTATGGAAACAATTTGGACAAATTATTTTGTACATTAATTTTGTAGATTTTTTAGAAATATAATTGTTCAAAACTGTTTCCATTACTTTAGGATGATTCTTCCAAAAAAATAATTTAATAACTACTAATTTCAAAATTAGTTTGATAAGTCCGTAATTTTGCAAAATACATTTCTGAAAGTATTAAGGTTTTTAAGCTTCTTAGCAACAGAAACGGTGCAACACTTTCTTTATTTCTCACATATTTAAAATTCATTTCATTCCTTTTTATTTAAATTAAATGACCACAAACTATTTTTAGTTTTGGACGTGTCTGGACATTTTCCCATTGTACTTTTTGATAAAGGAATTCGGTTTCATGTGTTAATGGTTTCTATTACAAGCTGCAAGCATTCCTCGACTAAAAAACTTTCCACGACGCCACACACGAAGACAAAGAATCCGGCGAGTTTATTAAGTCTAGTTGTGCCCCAAAAAGTGTGCAACATTTTAATATGTATGTCAGTGCGTTGTCCATGTGTGACTGCTAATGTGGGTGTGTTTAAGTGTGTATGTGTTCATATACTGGCATTGTCTAGGCAAAATATAATAAACTCAGCATTTGCAGCAAACATATTTTGCGGTCTCTGACAACGACAAAATCTACAACAATACAGTCGCCGCACCCAAGAAAAGCGCTTGAGTCTGGCCCAACCTTGGCAACCCTTTAAGTCTTCTGGGGCTATATCTCGAGAAGGAAGTACTGGAAACTTTAGCACAGTTCCTCATATCTTTGGGGCACCTGCGGCAAAAGTTTCCGCTTCCTTTCGCACTGGTTTTTTGTTTCTCTTGCCAGCGTTGCAAAATCAAAGTTGCCAAGAACTAGCTAAGGGTAGACTTTCCCACACACCCGAAAACACCATCTTTCCCATACGTACTACTACCCAATTTTGGCCCTGAGAAACTTTGTCATGTTTATACGTATATGGGGAAGTGAACATGCTCGTATCTTCTACTTAAATTAAATACAATGTCTGCGAAAAGTAAATTGAAGTTTGCTTTATGTGCATTTTTCACTTCACCCTCATCCTTTCCAATTTCAGAAATTCTCGCCCACACTCTGCCAAAGAAGTTTCATTTAATTCTCATGTTAAACTTATTCCCCGAAGCCGACTTACACGGAATCTATACCTTGGGGAAATGACATTGTAGCGAAGTTAAAACGGATATTTTTGGGAGAGCAAGCATTGAAAGTTTAATTGAATGGGCATTAATATTTATAATGCTTATTGATGAAAGCTGTTTATTAACAGCTAGGTCGTTTCACCAATAAATATAATATGAAAAGTAAGTTTTTTTTTATTTTTAGTTGACAAAATATATTTTTATTTATTTATTTTCAGCAAGTTTGAGAATAAATGAACTCTTACCTGGCACCGATGAGCAGACTGTTCCCATCCCTGGTGACGAGCTTAAAGTGATCCACGACACTTTCGTTACCCACAAACTTGAGTACATCTTCGGGACCTGCAAAACGGAAAGAAAAGAGGATTATAAATAAATTGCACCGGGCAACAGGGAGTGGGTGGGGAATGGCTGGAAGACAGATGAGTTGGCCGGATGGTTTTGGTTCGGCCAGCAAATGCCTAATTAGGCAATTAGGCGGCGTTAAAGGCGACAAAAAGCAGTTGAGAAGAAAGGAAAAAGGCAAGCGGATAATCTGGCTGCAAAGTAAAAAGGAGAGATGAGCCGAGGGGGTCGCGGAAAATGCTGCCACATGGCGGAGCTTAGAGAAACGTTGCAGCTGGAGTTGGGAAAATGGGAAATGGAAATGGGGTCTGTTTGTCCTGATGGCAACTTTCCCCCGGTAGATATGCAAAAGGGCAGCTGCACTTAGAATAGCCCGTTTAGCAACAGCAACATAATCAACAGCTGCAAGTACAATTTTTGTCGCTCGTTTTCTTTGGTTATTTGCATCTGCTTTTTGCACCCGTTCCCGGAAATCTTTGTTGCTTGCAACTTGCCACAACCTGCCGCCAGTTCATCTATTTGATTGACCGATAAAAAGAGCCTTGGAATCTTAAACCGCAAGATAAACTCTGAAACTTCGATAGTTTATACAGTTTCTTAAGTAAAATGATAAACAATTACTCTGCTCGGGTAAACAACTATAAATATTGTCTTAATATATATACACACAAGGACTTTGTCTAAGACCTGAGGAACAAATCATGAAACTTTAATAGTTTATTAGGTTTCCTAAGTAAAATGATAAACAAATACTGTACTTGGGTAAACAACTATAAATATTATATTAATATATATAAAAACAAGGACTTTGTCTAAGACCTGAAGAACAAATCATGTAAGAATATTAAAATTTTTGTATATTTGTAAATTAAATTTTATATTTTTTTAGTTAGAATATGAGCTTTGTATCTTTTCGTTTATGTGCCCATTTCAAAAGATATAAGAACTTTGATATTCAAAAAAAAAAATTACGCATCCGACATGGACACCTAGCTTAAATTTTTAAAAATAATTTCTTATTTGCTTGCCAACAGTTATATACACATATAAAATAATTTTAAGTTTTTGTCCGTCATACACAAATAAATGAAACAGATTCTGGTCGCGTTCCCCTTGAATATTCAAGAATAAAATTACGCATACGACATGGATGCCAAGCTTACATTTTTTAAAATAATTTCTTAATTGCTTGCCAACAGTTATATATACATATAAAATAATTTTAAGTTAAAAAAAATCCTTCATACACAAATAAATGAAACAGATTCTGGTCGCGTTCCCCTTGAATATTCTAGAATAACATTACGCATACGACATGGATACTTAACTTAAATTTTTTGTAATAATTTCTTAATTGCTTGCCAACAGTTATATACACATATAAAATAATTTTAAGTTTTTGTCTTTCATACACAAATAAATAAAACAGATTCTGGTCGCGTTCCCCTTGAATATTCCAGAATAACATTACGCATACGACATGGATGCCTAGCTTAAATTTTTTCTAATAATTTCTTAATTGCTTGCCAACAGATATATACACATATAAAATAATTTTAAGTTTTTGACTTTCCCCTTGAATATTCAAGAATAACATTACGCATACGACATGGATGCCCAGCTTAAATTTTTTGTAATAATGTCTTAATTGCTTGCCAACAGTTATATACATATATAAAATAATTTTAAGTTTTTGTCGTTCATAAACAAATAAATTAAACAGATCCTGGTCGCGTTCCCCGTTTAACACATATTAAATACAACCCCCTTGGCCAGTATTCGATCATTGGTGTTGCGACTAAAAATTATTTTTCTTATTTTCCTCAATTTTTTGCCTTTTCAGCGAGCTTTTAACTTTTAACTGCAAATGTTCGGTCAACCACAAAAGAGCGAAAAAGTTCTCCGCGTTTTTTACCCAATGTCCTTTTCAATGCGGAAATGGGTGCGCGGAAAAAGGGCTGGGGAATGCCACCTGGTTATTGAAAGCGCATTTGGACGCTTTTCATGTTCGTCCACTTTTCATTTCAACGGGTGCGAATAAAAAAAATGGCGAAAAACGAATGCTAAAATTAATGGGTAGAATGAACGCTTTTATGCACGAGACAGAAGAGCCTTTTGTTTGCTTGACATTTAACGTGACACGCGGGACATGTGCACAACTGTGGGGTTCTGGGTTTCGGGGCAGGAGAAGTGTGCCAACTACAGGAAAAGTTAAAACCTGGACCCGCAACAGAGCTCTTCAAATGAAGCGACATTTTTTTAATTTCGCTCTGTAATTAAAAGTAGCAAAAGCACCAAATGGAAGTCGAAGGAAAGGGAAAGAAAACAAAAGCTGAAGAAAGTCAAGGAAAATGAAAGCAACGAATGGAAAAATAATTATTGCAGACAAAAACATGAGAAATACTAACGGGAGAAGGATAGACAAATAAGATGCCATGACATAATATAAGAAAAAAAGGTTTCAGAAATAATGGATAAAAAATGTATATACAAGTTTCAGAAATGAGTTTTATTCTCCTATGAAAGCATTTTGTATTTGAAACTTGCTATTACAAAATGATAAATACCAAATAAGCACCAGTATTAAATACAATCATAAGTTGCCTACCTTTTTTTGAAAAATTTAAAGTTATTGTTCCTGATTTAAAATCGTAGTCCCCCTTCTTTTGACTACATTCGTATCTTTTCTTTTCCAAGACGATTTCTAGACCTTAGCCATTGCTCAACCATTCTCATTTGTATGATAATGATTCTCATTTGTTGTCTCCGAGGCTGTTCCTCACTCACAAAAGACCACTGCCAGCCCATCTCATTACTCAGCTTGTTCCCCGAGGCACTTTTTGTGCTAGAAGTCCAACTTTTGTTTAATGCCACCGCGGGCCTTTTGTCGACCTGGCCAAAAACTTTGTAAGCCCAAAATTGTAAGCTAATATTTGCCTTACCTACATCTGCACACAATATCAAGCGCACACACATTCATCTGCATAGAGGGAAAAGTGGAACCGGAAAAGAGCGAGAAATTCCGCAACCAAAAATCTAATATTTACCTTGACTTTGCAAAAAGCAAACTGCAAGCTAAAAAAGCGGTCCCCCGTCCAATTCCTGTTCCCCATGAGCACACTTACATAGTTACATGCATATATAGGTACATATATTTGCACAAAGGACCGACCAGACAGGAAAAAGAAAAGGGAACTCGTTGCCAGAGTCTATCACTTTAATCAACTGGACCGTCTGACTGCTCGAAATTATGCAAATTCAACGAAAAATAAAGTAAAATTTCTGACGTACGGAGTAGAGGTCTCCGTCCGTGTTTGACATTGACTTGCGGACGTGACCGTGCAAGGACCAAGCAACTTAATGGTCAACTTGCCGATTCTGCGGCACTTCCTGGCCACCACCAGCACACACAAATCACACAGAGCGAGCGGTTTGGGAGGCAGTGGCGAACAAATAAGCTGATTATTAAATATTTTCTTAATGAATTTTTTATTCGCACTTGCGGAATTCCTGGGCATATTTGCCCAAGAAGGCATCCACTAGCAGGTGTGATGACCATTCGCGCCGGCCTCATTCCTTTTGCAAGCCGGGCAGCCAGCGAAAGGCAGACAACAATGCAGCATTAAAAATGCAAAAACCTTTTCTTAAATGCAAGCCAAATGTTGCTCTTAGTGCTGCCGAGAGAAATAAGAGAAAAAGGCGATAAAAATGGCTGAAAGGCACCGGGACTAACGCACAGCAGAAAGGAAACGGCAGTCTGTCAATAATAAAGGCTTCCGGAAGAAAAATGCAAAACGGAGGTCTCCACGACTCTTAAGCTGGTTATGAATAGCATACAAGAAGATGTTTGCAAAATGCACGGAACAACTTTTAAATATTCCCGAAATTGAACATTTATTTCTGAACAATTTAAGTTTTACATTTAGAAATGATTTATGTACACTTGTATTTTAAATCGTAGTTAGAAATAGGCATAAAAACAAATCTCAAGTATTTTAATATAAGTTATCTTGTGTGTCTGCTTTATATTAGTGATAAGAAGTGGTATGAAAACATACTTTTGAACGATTTATGATTATTTATAATACAACACAAATTCACAATATAGTGTAAGACACACATCAATATGAGGAGCCTATTTTGACAAAGCAATTTCGGGGTACCAAAACTTTTAGATGTCTTTTCACATGGGGGCTTGAGATTGAACAAGTATAATCTATAAGCAAACAAATCTAGGTCAAGCCTTGCCAAAATTGAAGGAACACATAAAGTCTGACCTCCATGATTTGTTAATTTCTTTTTTATGATTCTGGTTTAGGCATTTATATATAGATTTTATATACGACAATTCAAACGAGTGAGGTCTGTATAAAAATAAATAATCAAACATTTGAAAGGTCATGCATAGATTTAAAAACATTAAAATACGGAAAATGAAACTGAAACAATTATTACTTATCGAATCAGCCCGCATATTTATAAGTATTGACTTTGTTTTTGTTTTAAATTGCATATTTAATGCAGAAGCCAAGGCCTGCAGTTTACTTTAAAGAAATAAACCCATTACTTCAAGAAAATATCCAACACAGCAAATTAATTCCTGACACCTCTCATAAAAATGTTATATGGGAATGAAAACCAAAGTTCTTTTTTCGAGAGTAGAAGAAGAAAAGCGGCTTCGGTTGCCGGAAAACAAAATGCAGCGACGCGTGAAAAACATTCCCCGACTTTGGAAGCGATTCCACACACCCCAGGTTGAGAACGGCAACAATAACACGGCGACCGGAAAAAAAAAACGTGGAGAAGGAAAAAATCCCTCGTTGAGATTTGCATTTAATTGAAATGAACGCGAACGGTCGACGGAGGACACATCAAATGGCCAGACCAGACCAGACAGAATCTGAATCTGAATCCGAATCGGAATCCGAAACCGAATCGGACGCACAAAAGGCACGAGGAAAAAGAGCAAATAGCAAAAGGCCGAAATTCAGGGGGCT